GAAGTAGGTAGTTTCATTCAATAAAAATATGTATCATTTATAAGTCATGTCAAACAATTAGTGTTTCGTTAAGTAAAAGTTACAAATAAATATTTATTTTAAAATAGGAAAAGTGGTAAGCTGTAATTACATATTAATTAGGCAAGTCGTATTTTTCACGAAAATATCAATTATCAATTGCTATTTTTAAAACTTAAAAACGACATTAGTTTCAAATATATTGTACTGAATTATACTTATTTGAATGTATTTTAATGAAAAAATATAATTTGTATTTATCTATATTCATTTACGATATATCTATTATATAGAGTGAATCAGTTAAACACACGATAGACTTAAGTCACAACTCATTATTTTACAGTTTACACATTACACTTTAGTAAATTTGGATTAATTTAAAATATTAATAAATAAACTTCTTGGAAATATTTGTCTGTTAATAATAGCAATTATACAAATAATATAATGTGTAATAATAACCAAAAAATAATTTAATCAGATGATAAACCTTTTAATCATAATTTGGGGCTTCAATTTAGATAGCACAATATAAGCGATGAACTATACAAAATATAAAATTATAATAATAGGTATAATTTTTGTATTAGTTGACCTCGTTTAAATATAATTTCAATAGAAAGATTAGTCACTTACACTGACCACTGAATTCAAAACGTTACGCTGCAGAATGATTCATAAATCATAAGCATAACCATTACTGATTATTATTTATCATCATACTGTCGAACATAACGTGTTATAACCGATTGTCAACTATATATAGTGTATTACATTACGTGTATCCAAGACAATAAGATTAGTATAGATATTAAAATTTAAAAATGTACCAACAACAAACAATTTATGAAAAAACTGGTAAGTAGTGATAATTTTTATTGCCAAGCTTTGTTTAGAATCACATTTTAATCATTATAAACATCATCTACATATTAACCATAACAATAAATACATAATAAAAATATCACATAATGGTACCTGATATACGAGACTAATAACCAAAATTGAAACTCTTTTAACGAGTAGTTTTTGTTTTTACAAATGTTTTCTCAAAAAATATAAATTCTAAATTATTTACATTTTCTATTCTACACACGGATATAATGCGAACAACGTTAAAATGAAAAAAACAACATTCTTAATACCTATATAAATTATACCAAAATAAAATTGTTTAAATTTAAGTGTTTAAAAATAATTGAGACAATATTAAGCATATTTAAATATCCATGCTGAAATAACCATCATACATCGTTATATAGTACAATATACCTACGGTGGTATATTAGTATACGGCTACACTACTAGACGTTTCTATTCTACAGTATTTAACCATCCAATTTTAAACCATCTAATATTATTCTCTAAAATTGGATATTAAAATTATAAGTCTAAAATAAATATAAAATAATGGTTTTCAACTTTAAACCATAGATAACCTTAGTAATTTCTAATGTATTTTTATTTAATTAATTGTAATTAAATATGTTTAATGTTCCAATTCAATGACATTAAAAAAAAACATGATTATACAGGCTATACTGTTATAATACATGGTACAATTCAATAATTATTAATTATTAATTCTATAAAGTAAATAAATGCATATAATAGTAGGTACTTAATAAAAGTTCTATGAAAATGGCCCATGTTACATTGATTGTACAACTAACAATAAAACAATTTAATTAACATTTTAACCTTCACCAATTAAATTTTAATCCTAAATAATTCCAACACCATTATTAGTATTAGGTATCAAATAAATTAATGAAATATATCATCGAATAAATTATTAACATTATAAGTTTTTATTTTTCTACTAGAATAGCCTCGGCATCTGAGCTACTGGCCACATATAAATATAATGTTCAGTACTGCTTGTGCAATTTTATAAAAAAAAATTAATTTTTATTTTAGTCTTAATTTGGACGATATAAAATATTGAAATATTAATAATTAACAACAGATAGGTAATTAGTAATTGAAATATATTTTGTATTATGTATAAGAATTATAAGTTTTATACAGACAATCATCACAGACAACTTCCTTGTTTTATTCTTGAACTATATAAAATGTTCATGAAATGTTTCAAAATTCGATACACAGGTGTTTAAGAAATAGGTACAAATTATTGTTTGCGTTCACTCTCCCAGAAACAACCGATTACAGCAATAACACCACGACCCTAAGCCAGGGAGCCGTTGTAGAATAAAAATCGAAGAATAAAATTAATTAGAAATCATTAGCATGCAATGATTTCCGGAATATTCTACGGAAGTCATTCAATATATTATACGCATAAGGTAGTATCTACCACACATCAAACATGATGCCAACATCTGAAAATACATCAAACAATTTTAAATAGGCAGGTAATTCAAATTACTAGAATTTCAAATACCGTGTTATGATTATTACCAACTCCCTTCCAATTTTCCATATTTTAATCCATATTCTCCCAAAAACAGATACTACTTCCTGTCTGGATAAACTTTTTTATTTGATGAATTTATACGTTTCAATACCTACTAGATTGTTGGAATTATTCTAACTGTATTTACTACAACTTTTTTAGATACAATATTATTTGTGCTAAACTACAACATCCATCTACATGTAATATACGTTGAAAAATTCTGTTGATACCTACCTATTTATTCCATGTATGTTTTAATAACTAGCAGGTGATTATTTAACATACACCCCCTATCCTATCTTCAGAAGCGAGTATATTATAGTTGACAACTGTAGTCTTTATCCCTACCAAGTGGTCGGTTAGTGAGACGAATTCGCTTATAATGTTTAATATAACATTTGTATAAGAATAACCAGTTAGAGTGTTGTAAAAAATAAAGAGTAGTACAAGTAAAAATTAGATTTGATTAATTTTAACAAAAAATACTCGTAGGTCCCTATTCATAATATAGGAAAAGTTAATGAAAAAGTAATAAGCATCTACCAGACAATTAAGAAAAATATTTTAAACTTGATCTAAAAAATATACTAGCAGTAAAGCTAAGAATAATTTATAATAATATTAGTCTTCATTTTAAGTAAATCTGCATTAATATACAAATAACTACATCCTAGTATAAACTAACCGCGGGGACGGATAAATAGGTTCAATTTTATGTCCTAAGATCATATTAGCCAGTTGACCATTACTGATTTCCCACTATCCTTTAATAAATAGTTTTAAACCCGGTTTAGATCTATAAATTTACGACAAATAGCCTAATGTACTCGTACGTATTTAGTATAATATTACTTAAAATCTACTCATTACATAACAAAAATAAAAATAATATTTACATCTATTATCTATATACATATAACTGCCATAAAATATATATTTACTATTTTGAGAGTAGTTTTTCTAAGTATTATTGATTTTACCGAAAAATGTATTTCCGAATGAATATTTTATAGATCATAAAAATTTTGTATTTCTATTAATTGCACTATTGAATATTGACATGTTGTTATACCATTATATAATTTTTAATTTGTGAATATAAGAAACAATTTTCATCTTCAAAAAAATTACAGGAATATTCCAATATCTAAGAAATTTTTCTSGAGTGCAAAATCGATGATATAAAAAATATATATTTATTTATTCATTTTTAAAATATGTTTTCTTTATACTGTAGGTATATCTCATTTTAATTATTCTTATATACCTAGCGTCCTAGCTGTGTTAAACTTAAGTGCAATTTGGTAGGAATAAGAAACATAATTTATAATAGAATAAATAATAATAATGAACATTATAATTTTACGCTAAAATGTTTAAAAAAAAATACAATATTTGGCTTCTTTTACGGTACTAAAATTTTTTGAGTTTTTAACTAATAACCAATGCTATTGTATTATAATTTACCTATAACATAAAGCAATAGTACCTAATAGGTTATATTAAAGTTTTTTTTTCATAAACAATACTTTGATAAATTACAATCCAACGTGTAAAATAAGTAATATTTATAGTTAAAAGGCAGTTAAATGAGTTATAAATACATGAGGAAGAAATCAAAAATTTGTAATGCCTCTTATAGATTATAAAAAAATAAATATAAATTAAAAAATTAAAACATAATATTATATCAATGTGTGAAATTATAAAATTCTACTAGTTACTACTTTATAATTTTATAAGCACTGACGCACTGTTCACCAAAATATCACTTATAAATTGTACCTATACTATAAATAAATGCTGTAAAAATGTTCAGTGTACCTGAGTATTTTATTTACAATTAAACGTAAAAAGATGCCAGACAACACTAAAAAAAGTACAATAACTACCCTTGTTTATGGGAAACTATATTATAGCATACCCGTGAGTGTAAATACTGAGTGTGAGAGAGAGATAGTAAATCGACAGGTTACAATATATGATATAGGTATATATATGGCAATGACGTTTTATTTCCGTTTAGAAATGACAACCCGTCGTGCCATCGTTTAATAATATAATAGTTACTCCTTACTCGATTTTAAATAGTTCCTTCGTATTATTGTTATTATGAATTTCTTATCAGAGGCGAAACCGATATAAATAACGGTTTTCCACACAATATTTCTAAAACGGAGAAATACGAGTACCAGACATGAGCAGAGGTGGACAACGAAGAGAACCAAGAAAGAGCCGGCGAGCGATCAAAAAAGGCGTTAGCTGTTGGAGTAGAAGGGTGGTGAAGTACCACAGCGTGAGGCGCAGCGGCAGTCACCGGGACGCGAACACGCCGGCCCGCAACAATCACGCCCCAATAACGCGCCCTTAAATCGCAAACAACGTCTAAACGACTAAACGTACAATATTATCTACTACGATGCGAATTATCTACGTCAGACAATAGTATATTATTAATTATTAAAAATAAAATAAATTATTACGTTTACCAAGCGTGTGCAACCGTTACGATCACGCAAATTAATGGTATAAGTTTTTGAAAACAAAAATAACGTACCTGCTTCTGGTCCCCCGCCGGAGCACCTGCTGCCGGTGGCGTCCGTCTTGTCTCTTCCGCTGGAGGCCGACATGATCACCTAGCTAGTCGTAATACGTACGTAAGATGCAATTTATAAAGATCTACGATAATATTATGGTACAGTGTCCGTTAGGTCAGGAATCGTGCTCGCATGATTTTCCCGCGACAAACACTCGGCAGCGCGCGAAACCGTCGAAAACACGTCGTCTCGCACACGACTGACGACTGAGATAATAATATTATAATAATCTAATTATTACCGCTCGTATACCGCGGTGGTGGTTGACTATGACCACGAGGGTGGCAGTGTGCGCGCGGCGACCGGGGGTGTGTGCAATGCGTGAAAATGCGCACACGCGACCGACGTTATCCGTTGCGCCTACGTTCTACGACGATCGTGTGCCGAGAAACGTTAGACCGGCCGTGTGCCGAGCATGTGTGCTACTGCCGAGTGGTGCCGCCGTACAGCCGGTCGGCGATGGTGGCTGTGGCAGCGGCTGAGCGGCGCGGCGGTAACCGTATATACCGCGCGCGGTCGGTGCGCCGCCGCCTCTACCCCACCCCTCGCCATCACCGATATGTCTAACCGGCGATCGGGACGCGGCGGCGGTCGTCGTCCCGTCGTCACCACGGCAACTGCGTCGTCGTCGCGAACGTAGCGTACTTTTTTCACCTCACCGTCGCCGCATTGGCACACTACACAGCAACACAAGATTGTACACTGACGCGGGAGCAGTGCAAAAACCACCCGACGCCGTTGTTTCAGTGTTGTTGTTTAAAACGCGTGGCGCGAAACTATCACGTCATTCGATAGACCTCCCAGTGGCCACAAACACGTTGCGGTGCAGCGGCGTTTATATTCCTAGGTATTTCAGCCAAGTACCGACGCTTGGTAAAACATATTTTGAAACTAAAATTATGGAGGGAGGGGTTAGAGCCGGGTAAATCGAAAAAAATGTTCGAGTTAATGAAATACTTTGCAGGTATTAACAATAAGCTGATAGACAAATAGACTAATCGACTATAATATAATATTAAAACTATTAAAACCATACATCCTTATAATAGGTATATTCGAAAATAATATAAACAAAATCAAAATTTAATATTGATAATCTATTATAATTTATATTGTATATCAAATATTATATAACGTACCCAAAAATAATTAAGTACATTCAATAGATACCATAATAAACAATATTATATTGTTGAAAGAGAAGAAAAGTATTAATATATTTGTTGTCATGCCCGTGCTTAAAAGTTAGTTTTCGATTACAGTTGAATCGGTGGAAAGTAACCTTTTTCAGTCCTGCAGTGGGCGGTATAAAATGGAAACTCCAAAAAGTGCCAGACGATAAAGTGGAAATCCCCAGAATGTACCGAGTGTATCATGACTGCACAACCAGACAACCACGGTCCTTATAAGACATAAACTTTTGGATATCTCTTATAATAGCCTCATTGCATAACGTTTAATCATTCAAACATATTTAATTTTCCCTGTTCCTACTAAATATGCATTGAACATTACCGATAAATTTAAACCTGTTTTGTAACTTAAGGTTATTATACCGAAATAAAATAACATTCATCCCATGAAATTGTTTTCGTAGAATAGTCTGATTGTTGCATAAATCCCTGCATTATCTTTACCGTGATCGATGAACCCGGAGGTATGGCAAAAAACAKTATGTGTGAGGCGTGTGATTGGTGCAGAAAGGCAATTTCAGTCTCGGGTGAAATGCGGCCTTCACCTGCAGCTGCGACTGAAATAGCTCACTTCCCGCCTTTGTCACACAATATGTATACTATTAAGTATTAACTGCACGTTTCGTGAGTTTCGAAACAATAATGTTGTATCTCAATGGTTATAATATGAACTTGAAACTTACTATATGCAGCAGAAAGACTCCTGGGTTTAAATTATTTATAATAAAATTGTTTATAATGTTTATATAGTATAAATGGGGTGTGTTTATGGAGGCCGCAATAGCTCTGTTATAATTTTTTGTGTGGATAGGTACTTTTCGAAATCCATTACCATTTGTTAATTATAATTATCTTTTAAATTATAAGTAATATATCACTCATGTGTTGATTTCTTATTCAAGCTATTTTTTTAAACACATATTCTTATAATAAAAAACGGATTTAATACTTACACTTACCAGATCCACAAAGCAAAAAACACAAAAACTTCATATTTTATTAATATGAACGACAGATATGAAACATCATATTATATAACAAATTTTAAACATTCAATCTGTTTACACGGAAAAATAAAAATTTTGAGGCAAAATGTGTAATAGGTAAGTTGTCGTTGTAATATTTTTTAGGATAGGAGTAATCACATTGCATAAACGAATTTTCATGATTTTATGATCTTATATGGATATGTATTTAGTTTAGGTACTTAATGTCTTAGTTATTTGTATTTTTTTTTTTTTTTTGATTTGCTTTTTATTAGCAAATATTTATAGCAATTAGTTATTTGTAAAAACAAAAACTTCAATATCAAAATGTCGATAAAATAAAAAATTGTTTTTATTGGAGATTACCGCGTGATCACTGATCATAAATTTAACTATTAGTAAGTTAATCTTAATCGACAACAACTAATGACTGAAGATGTAAAATTAATTCTCATAGTGGATTTGTTGAAAACAGGAAATTTATTATTTTTTAAACATAATTCCCGGCTTAATAATTTAGATGCCATCAGATGTGAAATGATACATGGAGGTGCGCATTCATATAATCATATGGATTTCGAAAAAGCTATGATATAATGTGTAACATTTGTTTTGGATGATGTTAATATAATTGTTTAATTTGCCTAGTTTTTAAAATTAATGATCCTAAGTCTGTTTTAAAACTTCTGTTTTACGTATGTTATGTAATTTTATGATCTGAAGACGTTACTGGGATCAGGCTTTGTTTAAATTGCTTAGTTTTTTTTTTTTTTAATATTTTATAAGACTTAAAAAGTAATTTTCGTTGCATACGCCTTTCAACTGCAGAATCTATAAAAAAAAGCCAAGAAACAGCCAACTTATTATTTATAATAATTATAAAAACTAATTTATTAAGTTTTGTCAATTATTAATGCTATAATGATAGCAAAAGTATTTTACCGTAATGATTTTTTTTTTTGTTTTAACAAAGTGTAATCTTTTTTTTTTTATCAAAAACTCCATTCAACTTATTTTCAACTTCAGTAACTTTTCTAATGGTTCGTCAGTAATATTCATGTGTCAAGAAAAAATAAAAATAAAACAAGGTTTATAATAATTTAAGTACCTAATCATACTGTAAAATTTACATTAAAAAAAAAACCTCATCTAAAGTTTATACTTAATATTTATATATAAGTTACATCGTACATCATAAATATCTATGTGTAAAATATAAATCGATTGATAGTATGATAGAAGATGTAGCTAGATGACGTATATGTAAAATTAAAATATAACCTAGGCGATAATTATATCCGGACTATCTGATACAGGAATCAAGAGATGATGATAGTTTTTAATAATTAAGTTATTTAATTTGAATGCTGCTGTTGTTTTATCTATAATGTGTACCTTTGTGTCAATTCGAATATAAATTATTATTGTTTCAAACTTCGTTCGCGATGAACTTACATTAGTACCTACCTACAGACAACAGACTACAGTAGTTGGTATGGGTACATTTTCAATTATTACCTATCGTCAATCTTTCTCGTCTAATTTCTTCAAATGAAACAAATCAATTTAAAAAATCTCATCCTAGCATGTGAAACATATGGAGATCCAAAATTGTTTCAAGTTTGACGCACTTCACAAACAACACTGAACAGTATATTGTAACAACAGTATTTGTACCATTGTTGTACCTGTCTTTATGGCTATATAACATCTGCCAGTATTCACTTAAAATGGACTACTGCTCCTCTGTTGAAGCTTTATAGATTTAAAATATACTAAGTAATCGGTTTTAAATATTTAGATTACTTTAAAGCCGCCGTGATCAGTTTAACCCACACGACTTATATTATTAATGAAAAAAACTGTTTTCTTCTCTAGAATGATGCGTATGCCTATACTACAGGCATAAATTATTTATAACGTGCTATCATTAATTGTGTTATGATCAGCTATGGATCTAGAAATTGTTATGGTTGGTAAAGTTTATTACGATAATAAATAATAATGCTCTTTAGGTAGGCACTTATTAGTTATTATGAACAACTTTGAAGTAAAAATAAATAGGGATAACCTATTATTTGCCTGTTCGTTATATCTACAATGAATACTTACATTATACGTGAAAACATATACCTAAGTAATTTAGAATAACAAAAAAAGGTTCAATATATGAGGAAAAGTGGCCAGCTGAACTACCAAGCAACCCCATAAATCCACTACTAAATACCGTTGACATCCAATATCAGTATCTCCCTATTATGTCCATTATTTTTGTAAATTTTTTTTTTCAACTTTTTTTATATTTTATGCTTAATATACCTACGTAAAAAATAAAAAGCAACTACTTTATATTGAAAGCCAATAATCCTATGACTATATACAGAGTAATCATTTATTTTCCTAACCCCCCTCCCCTATTGAAATATCCTGCGTATGTCACTGTGAACTGTATTTTATCTACGTTATTTATTGAAAGAACATTTTATGTATGCTAAAAGATTTAAATGGTATTTAGTAGAAACAATTACAAGATACGGTGTATACGTATAGAAGGAACCACACTTTTATCAGGCCCAAATTCATATTATAATGGTATATAAACTATACAATGTAAAATGGTTATGAGTTTATGCCTTACAACCACCGCGGGACACTATTTAGGCGAGTCGGACAGGCGACAGTAGGCACGAACACGAGGAGGACAAAGACTTAAATCGGTTCAAGGGGTGTCATGTGGTTGATTGTAGGTGGGCAGGGGATGGGTAACTTMTATATACGAACCCCGAGACCACCGGGTAGCGTCATTTTTGTGCATGCACGTTCTGCAAGTAAAAAGGACGTAGTAGTATATCGTCAAAAATATAATAATAATAATAATACAATACAATATTTATATGTATGTATGTATGTATGTATATGTATGTTTATATTATATTTATATATGGTATATATATTAAACGTATTGTATTTGCTCATGATAATTGTAAAAGCATGCAGTGTGCATATTGTATATTTGTGTGTACTGTGTGTGTATATATATATATATATATATACACATTATATATACTATATAGGAAAGCTAGTATACCTACTGCGAGGACACGATATTTTTGTAAGACTAACAACACGAGTCTTTATTCATTTTCGTTGTTCAATATTTCGTTGGTAGGGTCGTGTCCCGTTTTTATTTACTTGGTCTCCACAATATACAGATAGGATCAACGAGATAAACCCCTGCTGCCGCCGCCGCCG